AAAAAAGAACTAGCACTCAGCTTTATTCTAACTCTGGACTAGCCCATAAGCGCATAACATTAAAGGAACACTTTAGGGTCAAGAACACAAACATGTATTCCTGACCTATAGTGTTAAAACCACCATCTAGCCCCCCTGGCCTCACCTTGAACACCTAAATATAGCAAAATCTTACTTTTGTTAAAGTCTGCAGCTGCTGGCTGTACCCCTGATATGCCTGCTTGGCTGACATCATCAGAAGTTTTGTTCTTAGCCAATCATAATGCTTTTTTCATTAGAAAGTATTAGATTGGCTGAGCTTGTCAAGAAGGCAGATCGGAGCAGAGCCAACACAAGTCAAACAAAGCCTTGGTCAATCAAAGCCGTGCTCATTGTATCAATGCATCTCTATGAGGAAAGTTTACTGTATCTATGCACAGGTTGGAGACACTGAGTGGCAGTGCACTGCCACAAAAAGCACCTCAGCAGCCATGGAGTGGATGTATCCCTAGGCTGTAATGTAAACACTGCGTTTTCTCTGCAAATAAAACAGTGTTTACTGCAAAAATTCTAAAGGTAATGTTTATACTCACCAGAGCAAACACAATAAGCTGAACTTGTTCTGGTGACTATTGTGTCCCTGTAAACGTGCTGTGTCAAACTCAATATACTACAAATAAGAAAACATACAGGAACTTATAATAACATATCTGGGGCTGGGAAGACAATAACTAACACAAAATATCTCTCCTGCCTGCAGAATTCATAATATGCAAATCTACCTGAATATGCAAATTAACAAGCCTGCAACCAACATACCGGCTCCACAGCCAAATACACCTAGTTGGTTGAGACGATTAGCAGGACAGGAGAGAACACAAAACATGTCACAGGGTGACTTAAACATAGGAGTCAGCTGGGGACCTAATTGACGTTTCCATCTTTTGCTCCCAGTGATGGTGACTACCGTCACACCATGTATCATGACACTCCTGACAAATCATGTGCCCGAATGTAAAAAAACAACAAACTGCATTGTATTGTGACAAAGTATATAGTAACTACATAGTAATTAAGGTTAAAAGAAAGACTCAAGTCCATCAAGTTAAACCTTTAAACACATCTTTTTACGCTATATATATATATATCTCCCCATATTAAATCAATATTTATATAAATAATGTGCTCTGGTATTTCTGTGTTCATTATCCCATATCTTATACCTTATGAAAAGGCAAAATGTAATCCCAGGTAACAGTGCAGTATAAGAAATACAGAAACGTATACGCCACTATAACTACATGGAGCTGGAAGACTGATATAAAGAAAGTTTTGGTGCACAAATGCTGCCTCTCTTCTCTGTGAAATGTTAACATTGTAGATTCTGAGACACTAGAGGCATTTCCTCAGACTTTTCAAAATTGAAGGCCTTTATGGTCTTCGTCTTCATGCCTAGGAGGATGACATGTAACAACATTAATGGTTTTTATAGAGAAGCATTAGATTCAGTCTTTATCTATGAGAAGCATCTGATTGGCATAGTGCATGATTCCATGCATGGACCATTGGTCTCCAGTAGGCAGAGCAGCTGCAGGGGAGATCCTGTTATGGCATTGTAATAAAGGTAAGATACTACAAATAAAAATAAATATATATATTTATATAAATATACAGGGTTTTTTGTGTTTTCTTTTACAAAATTATTATTTTTTGCTTGTTCTAGAGACAATCTAGGACATGTCTGTGCATATATGTTTATTGGCTTCTATTTAGTACTGTATTTGTTAACATTATTTGTTTTTATATTTTCAGGTGACACCGTGGATGTTCTGCAGTATGACAGCAGCCCCACAGGTCTGATCCTGTCAGTTGTGCAGAGATTTCCTGATGATGAGGATGAATTGGAAAGAGAAATATTGGAACTGAGCATTTCTGATGCCCACTTCTGGGAGAATCAAGGAAGTCGATAATTAGGCAATATAAAGCATTATGTGGTGTCCTGCAGCCGTTTGATAAAATGGATATAAGATTCAGTACTCTGCAGGGCCTAAAGATATATGTGTCTTATTATGGTTATGGTGTGCAGATATCTGGTATGGGAAGTATTAGTGATGCTTTGCGAGCCTATGAGACAAATGATAAGAAAGTAGTATAGCTTGTATGACATTTAGGCTGTGAATGTGTTAAGATAACCCTACTGTGGATCTGTGAGCACAAGGATGAATTGAATTATTTACAAAATTTGTGGGTTACAGAACAGTGTTCTGCTGGTCGCCTTAGCAATGGTCAGATAAACTGGATTAATTCTAAATAAAATGATATTACCAAATCTATTTTTCAAAAAGTGTATATTTTCTTTTTTAATTTTGCATGTGAAATCAAAACCAAGACAAATCTATCGGTTTAAAGAGTTTGTGTAAGGGTTATGAATGCATGTGATTTATACTGGCACCTCTCCAAAACAAACTACTGTTCCGTCCATATTGCCTTTGGAAAACACATCTTTCACGTCACGTGATAATATGCAAACAGGGATATCCACTAAAGTGAGAATTGTTGTGAATTCTTTAATTTGTAATTTACTTTGAATTCCCAACAGTTTTCACTTGATAAATCTGATTGTACATAAAAGGTCAATATATATATATATATAAATATGCTTCTATCTAATCTTGAATTTTGTTTGCACAGTGGGAAGTTTAATGGTGAGCAAAAAAACAAATGAAAACTACATTTAGGGGACTCTAGTTAGCAAAAGGAACAACTGTTTTGTTAATACATCTTGTATTGTACGCGATAAGGAACCAACACACATGATTTTTTTTAAATAAATATGTAGAAATAAAAAAATGTTAAATCACCCAATGGTGATACTAAATACAGAACCCAAAAAAAGTTTTATTTATTTTTTTGATCACAGAATATTCTGCACCAGGGGTGAGGAGACATTGCTAGGTCCGAAATAAACCTGGGGCTTGATAACAAAGTTAAACTTAATGACCCTTTCCAACCTCTGCCTATGGCAACTCCCAACACCCATCCCTGACCACTCCAAACTCCACTTTAGTCACTCCCAAGCCCCTTAATCTATTCAAACTGCAGCTTTTTACCTTCCCACATGCTCCTTCTCTCTGGCGTCAATATATCTTCTTGTTGTCTACAATACTGTTTCCTTCTTATTCTTTACTGCTACTTCTCACACTCAAACTGCTCATTAGAACCCAACTCCCTCCACATCATTTTCAGCCTTCCAAAGTTCTTTCTCACTACCACTGTTACTTATGACCCTCCACTGTTCTCATCCACAGCTGTGCCATTTTGACTTCCCACTACTTCTTCTTAACATCTGTTATTTAGTTTCACCCTCCACTGCTTCTTCTCACAATAGACTGCTCCTTCTCATCCCCACGCCTCTTTCCAATCCTCTCAAAGCTCCTTCTCACCCCTAATTATGCTTCTCATCCACCCACAGCTCATTTATACCCAGCACTGCTTCTTGTCATTCTCCCACTGCTCCTTTACCCCACTATTCCTTTTCATCCTTCCACTGCTCCTTCTTACATCTCGGGCAGCTAATGGGTTAATCTCTGTATGTGCAGCGTTTGAAAGCGAAGTGCTGCACATATGACCACAGGCACCATGACCATTTCAATCAATGCAGTGGTCATAGTACTTGGTGTATCCGTTTGGTGATAGAGTACTGAGAATTATCATTCATGTTAAACCTTCTGGTGTCTCTCGGGGGTCTTTTCTGGGGCCACTTCTATTCAATATGTTTATAAATTATTTTGAAGTAGGCTTTGAAAGACGTGTGTCAATGTTTGCACATGACCTAAAATTAGATTTAGATAGGTTAGGGGGCTGGAAAATCAAATAGCAGATTAAATTTAAAGGGACCCTTATTACATTTAAAGGGACAGCTTATTGTATTTGTTCTGGTGAGTATAATCATTGCCTTTTGGGCTTTTTGCAGTAAACACAGTATTTTCAGAGAAAATGCAGTGTTTACATCACAGCCTTGCGATAACTCCACTTGCCACTCCTCAGATGGCTGCTAAAGGTGCTTCCTGGGGCAGTGCTGTGCACTGTGCAGCACTGCCATTTAGTGTCTTGACCCTCTGCATGGAGATTTCCTCATAGAGATGCCAGCATTCAATACATCCAGCATTTAATACATCTCTATGAGGAGATTCTGATTTGCCAGGGCTGTGTTTGACTTGTGTTGGCTCTGCCCCTGATCTGCCTCCTTGACAGTTTCAGCCAATCCTATAGGAAAGCATTGGCTATGAACACTTCTGATGATGCCAGCCAAGCAGGCAAATCAGGGGCAGATTTTACTATATTTAGGGGGCAAGGAGGAATGGGGGGGTGGGGGGGCTAGATGTTGGTTTTAACACAATAGAGTCAGAAATACATGTTTGTTCCTGACCATATAGTGTTCCTTTAATGCAGACAACTGCAAAGTTATGCCCTTCAGCTTGAGGAGTGCACAGGCAATTTATCCCCCAAATAGTGAGATATGGAAAACAACACATGAGAAGGGTTTGGAAATAAGTTATAGACTGCCACTTAGCAACAATATCCAATGCCAATTGGAATTTCCCAAGGCCAGTAAGGTAATGTCATGGCAAATCAAATCTTTATAAATCAATGTTAAGACCTCACCTTGTATATGCCATGAAATTTTGGACACCTGTTCTGAACAAGGTGGTTATGGCACTAGCAAAACTGCTGAGGCTGACTACAAAATTAATCAGGAGAATAGCAAATGTTGAAGTTCTTATCTTTAAACGCCCAGGGGCTCAACACTAATAGAAAAAGATATAGATTATATAACTCTTTGGTGGAACATAACATACAGGTAGCTATTTTACAGGAAACACATTGGCTTAAAGATACTCGACAAAGATGGGGTGGGGATAAATACCCAACTATTATTCAGGCTTCTCTACCAGACAAAAAAAAAGAGGGGTGGCAATTATAGTTAATAAAGACCTTAAATTTGATATCCTACACATGGAATTGGACCCAGAAGCTAGATTTATCATTTTAGTCTGTAAGATTGACAATAAGTTCTTCACCTTGGTTAATGTATATCTTCCCAATGTAGACCCTATGGCGAAATTCTCATTGGTAATGGACAAAGTCGATAAGATTTCTAAGGGCTATTTGATCATTGCAGGAGACTTCAATTGTGTTAGTGATCCCAAATTAGATAAAACTACTGTATCTCCATTTATGAATAATAAAAGATCTATAAAGCAGGCCAAAAAATTAAATAACATCTGTAAACAATATAATCTTCATGACATATGGAGAATATGCCATCCTTTAACAAAAGACTATTCTCATTTATCGGGGGTTCATGGCAACTATTCACGGATTGATTTTTGTTTAATTAATGCTAGTACCATTCCTATTTTTAATTCTATTAATATCAAGGAAAACCCATGGTCAGATCACAGTTTTTTATTTTGATCTTGGCAATCCACCCCCTCAAACATATACTACCTGGCGTCTAAATGATGCTCTATTTAAAGACAGCAATAATCGGGAAGAATTGACCAAGTTATTAGAATATTTTTGGGCGGAAAATAATCCGGCAGACACTTCCCCTTTGACAAATTGGTGTACTCACAAATCTGTCATGAGGGGTTTTATAATCAAATTAGGCCATACCGTTAAGAAAAAACTTGGTAAAAATCTGACTGATTTATACATTGAATTTTATGCATGCTCAAGCCAAAACAAAGAGCACTCCACAATGGATTTAAGAACTCGTTTAAAAGAGTTGCAAAAACAAATAAACTTAAAAGAAGAAGAAAAAACTAAGATAAATATAAATAAATTAAAGTTAAACAATTATCAAACGGGTAATAGAGCTAGTAAAAATTTAACTAAGAGACTACAAAACCAATATGCTAAAAGTAGGGTAGAAAAACTTGTGGAAGATCAAATTGTTTTTCCTACTCCATCTCAAATAGAAAAAAAATTTAACCAGTTTTATTATGATTTATATAATTTAAAATTGAGTCCAAATTTAACGGACATTCAAAACTATTTATTTAATTCTGAAAGTTTCACCCCAAGATTTATTTACATTAAATAAAAAAATCTTAAAAATATGTTTATGGGATCCACCAGTACTGGTTTTCTCCTCAAGGAACAGACCTCCAGTGGATTCCAAAAGACACCTAGATGGACACTCCAGGGGTGTCCTGGGGCTTAACCCCTGACTGAACAAAAAAAGTTTAAGTCAAATCACTGGAAAACCAGTGACTTGAACATATACTGGAATTATAATATAATAGAGTAAATATTAATTGTTAATACCATGATATATACAACAAAACTTCTTATCCAGATTAAAAGATCATCCCAGTGTGAAAAGAAATGTGAAAACAGCCTGTTGGGCAAAACCTCCCTTTTACTAATCAGTGACTTCAATATACTATAGACTGCTGACTTTATACTTGTTTGGTCAAAGTCTAATTGTAGTGAAAAATATATATGTCAAATAAGTCACGGAAAAAAGTACCCAATTCCAAGCATACTGCCTGTTAACATCAAAATTATCAAATAAACTGAGTAACGATATTGTTGCAATTTCTAAATTAGAGAGTATCTAGATGTCCATATGTTGCTAAATAGCTTGTTGGAGCCCTGTGCTCACTAAAATTGCTATAATTGCAATACCTAAATAGTGGAACTGAAAGAAAAACTCTCAAACTAATATGATGAAAACGGATGAAAAGACTGTTATGATAACTGAAGTCTAATTCACATAGTATTTAAATAAAAGAATGGAATTGGGACAGAGAAAGGAGGTTAGAAAAATATAAATGTGCTAATGTGCAGAACCATACTTAGGATGTTGGTTGTCTGCACATAGTGAAAGTGCCCTGTGAAAGAGTGAATAAAGTGGAAAACGGAAAACCCGACGCGCGTTTCGGTGCTTGCGTGCACCTTCGTCAGGGGCCAGACTTAAAAAAATCTTCTCTGAAGAAGTTCAATTTAAAATTGACAGATTACCCATAAACAAAACCCCGGGCCCTGATGGGTTTACTAATTTTTATTATAAATTCATGAAGTCCCAATAATTAAATCCTTTAACTGAAATGTTTAATCATGTCGCAGTAAATAATTTGATACCAAAGGAACTATTACAATCAAATCTAGTTCCTATTTTAAAGTCGGAGAAAGATAGTACTGACCCAAGAAATTATAGACCGATTGCGTTAATTAACACCGATATGAAAATATATTCAGCCATTATAGCCAAGAGAATAAAAAAACTGTCATATCAAAACTTATATACTCAGACCAAATCGGGTTTATCCCTGGAAGATGGGCATCTAATAACACCCGCAGGTTGATTGATATTATAGACACTGCCAAAAGACATAGTGTTCCCCTCCTGACCCTGTCTTTAGACCCCGAAAAAGCGTTGGACAGGGTCGGGTGGGGTTACCTAGGTGAAGTCCTTAAGGCTTTTGGTTTTAAAGGATGGATTTATGGGGCAATTTTAGCCCTGTATTCCGTCCCCTCGGCCAGAACGGTGGGCCCAAATATTACCGCAGATTGGTTCGACTTTAATAATGGTACCAGGCAGGGGTGCCCTTTGTCTCCCCTACTGTATATTTTATCTCATGAGCCACTTGCGGTTAATATTAGAAACAACCAATTAATCAAGGGGGTTCTTAGGAATTTAAGAGACATCAAAATCTCACTATATGCGGATGATGCCCTACTTACCCTTACATCTCCGGAAGATTCAATTGGGCCATTAATGGATGAAATAGATAAATACTCTTAAATTTCTAATTTTAAGTTAAATATCACTAAATCTACTGTTTTAACTATTAACTTGTCTCCAGTTCAGGTTGATAGGTTATCTCAAAAATTGTAATTTATTTGGACAGACAGGGAAATAAATAATTTGGGCTTAATTTTTCCAGCTAATGTCCCTTGCATAATAGAGAGGAATGTTATGATCCTAATGAAAGATATGAATCAGAACTTAAAAAAATTTAAAAGTTTAGAAACCTTGTGTTTAGACAAAATCAATATTATAAACTCTTCTAAGTGGTTATACCTATTCTCTCTGGGATACTTGGGAAAAGGAATTAAATGTAACGATTTCTCCAAAAGAGTGGCTCTCCTCTTTAATTTCTGTAAACAAATTTGTACATTGTCTAAACCTGACCGAGTGCCACTTCAAAGTAATACATACTATACTATACTCCGACAAGATTAGCCAAAATTTATAATACTCAAGATTCTACATGTTGGAGATGTGGTTCTTACTCTGTTACATATATTCCTATATGGTGGACCTGCCCAGTAGTTAAGCCACTATGGACTTGGGCTTTTAACATCTTCTTCGAATTATCACTAAATAAATTTTTTTTTAAATCCCGCCTCGGCCCTTTTACATCTAAATTGGCAACTCAAGTCAAGTAAATATACTTGTTTGGCCACTCATTGCTTTGTCGCAGTTAAAATCATCATCGCTAGGCAGTGGAAATCGTCTAATCCATTTCAGAGAATGTATTTGATTAATCAAATTAAATTTCAATTGACAATGGAAAGAGATATTACAAACAATTGCATAGGTTTGTCAAAAAAAAAAAAAGAATGGTATTCTAACTGGCTCCAAAAACTCTCTTAATAAAGTGGCTCCAAAAACTCTCTTAATAAAGCATTCAGAGAGTTAGAACAGCTCGGCCACCTGCACCAGTGCTGCCACCACTGCCACAATCACTATTAGTAGCATTCAGCATGTCCTTTTGTCTGATTCAGTACCCAGGAGGCAATTGTTATTTTCTCTGTCCTTTTTAATCCACTGGTGCTGTACCTGATTCTGTGCAGTTGTCACAACCTACCAGAATCACTAACTTCTCCCTCCCTCGCCTCTCTTTCTTTAGACTAAGTAGGGCTATGGTTATTATTAATGTTCTATATATTATATTATACTCCTTGCTCGCAAAAGAGGATAATATTTTATGGTCATGGCATTAAAGGAGGGGGCGTCTAATGGATATTTGTTTATAAGTTAGTTTTATAATGACTTCTGACATTTTCATATGGATATTCTCCTGTATGTGTAATTTGACTTTTGTCTGTAAATTTGTAAAAAACTTTCAATAAAAACATATTAAAAACAATTAAAAAAAAAAAAAAAAGTGGTCTGGGTGTGGTGCCCCTTTCCTCTGGGAAACCATAGGCTAGCAATACAAATCAAGGTAATTATTGCAGTTTCTCCATAACTGCAATAATTACCATTGTAGGGTTTAACTGACAGGGACAGTGCACCCAGACAATTTCAATGAGCTGAAGTGGTCTGGGTGCCTATAGTGTCCCTTTAACACAGTAATGTAAAACTGTAGTTTTAGAGAAACTGCAATGTTTACATTGCATGGTTAAGACTGCCTCTAATATCTGTCTTTAAGACAGCAACTAGAGGCGCTTCCTGGTGGTTTGCAGAATTCTGTGAAAAACGATGCTGTGCGTCTTCACATTTTGCATGAGGATGTCCAGCGTATTCAAATCCCCCATAGCAAAACATTGATTAAATGCTTTCCTATAGAGAAGGTCTAATATGCGCGCAGTGGTTGGCTTACATACATTAGGTTCCTCCCATCACCGATATCGGAAGAAGTGGAGCATGCACCAAGGGACCTCTGCCTTTGCAAAAAGTGCTAAAAGTTTTTTTGTTTTTAAACCCATTCAACCATTTCAGCCATGGGCAGAGGAACACTATAACCTTAGGAATCCAGTTTTTGTATCCTTAAAAGGACACTATAGTCACTAGAACAACTACAGCCAGGCCCGGACTGGCCATCGGGCACACCGGGCAAATGCCCGGTGGGCCGCGGTGGCCATGGGCGGAGGCCGGCAGGGGAGATCACAGGATCTCCCCTGCCAGTTTATGCAGGGCCGGCACTATCCGAGTGCCGGTCCCGCTGTCTTCCATGGAGGGCTGGTGGGGAGATCAAAGATCTCCCTCACCGGCCCACATGCACTCAAACGCGGCCGCCGGCGGGGAGAGAGGGGAGGGGAGCCAGCCGCCAGGAGAGAGGACCCGGCGGAGCTCTAACTTGCAACCTATGGCAACCGGCCGGGTCTCGCGAGAGTGAACTCTAGCCCCAAAGGGCTAGAGTTCACTAACCACGAGGACCACCAGGGATGGCTGGCAGCAGCACGATCCCCCCACCCCCCCCTTTCCAGACTACAGGTAAGAATAGAGGGGGAGGGATATAATGTATTTATTTTTATTATTTATTATTAGTATTTATTATTAGTATTTATTAGTATGTATTTATTTTTATTTATTATTAGTATTTTTTATTATGTATTTATTTTTATTATTTATTATTAGTATTTATTATGTATTTATTTTTATTATTTATTATTATGTATTTATTTTTATTTTTTAGTAAAACATTAATAGTGCCATTTACCTGCCTCCCCCAATACAAAATCCTGGCAAACACACACATCACCCTCACCCAGCACCCTAACACATACACAGCACCCTAACACCAGCACCCTAACATTGACACAACATCCTAACACACACACAGCACCCTAACATTGACACAGCACCCTAACACACACACAGCACCCTAACATTGACACAGAACCCTAACACACACACAGCACCCTAACACCAGCACCCCAACACACACATAGCACCCTAATTCCAGCACCCTAACATTGACACATCACCCTAACACACACACAGCACCCTAACACACACATAGCACCCTAACACACACATAGCACCCTAACACTCACACAGCACCCTAAAAGACACACAGCACCCTAACACCAGCACCCTAACATTGACACAGCATCCTAACATTGACACAGCACCCTAACACATACAGCAACCTAGCACACACACACACACATCACCCCAACACATACACATCACCCCAACACATACACAGCAACCCAACACATACACAGCAACCCAACACACACACAACAACCCAACACACACACAGCACCCCAACACACACAGCACCCCAACACACACACATCACCCTCAAATACACAGCACCCTCAAATACACAGAACCCTCGCACAGTGCCCTCACACACAGCGCCCTCACACACAGCACCCTCCCACACACACTATACTCCTCACAAATGCACACTACACCCCTCACACACACAGCACCCCCCAAACACACTGCACCAGTCACACACTCACTAGATCTCCTATACGCACTCCGGAGTCCTTCAAACACACACTAGATCCCCTACACACAGACGCTGCACCACTTACACACACACTACATTTCTGACATACACACTCAGGATCCCCTATGAACACACTAGATATCCTTTAAGCAAACACATAGTGTCTCCATAAATGGGATACAGTGAGTATTCCAATTATGGAAACCCCTGAGACAAGTTTCAAGCAAACACAATGCAAGCATGTTATTAAATTTGCTGGCGCTGTGCAGATCAAATACAGGGCCATTTTCTCATGCCCTGGAAGAGCATTGAACCAACATGCTCACTTTGAGATGGGGCGTGCTTGTCATCAGGGCCGGCCTTAGGGGTGTGCGAGCTGTGCGGCCGCACAGGGCGCCATGGCAACAGGGGCGCCGGGCGGCTGACACAGCTCGCACTCAGTCACTCACAGTTCGGCCTGAGTCATGTACAGAGCAAGTCAAGTGCATAATGCTGTGCACTTGACTTGCAAATTATGAGCGGCCGGGAGAGAAAGTAGGTCAGGAGCACGGAGGAAGAGCGTGCTCCGCCTCCACAGTCATTCGCGGAAGGATCTGCACAGTCAGTTTGAGGGAGGTGGTCAGTGCTTTGGTATCAAGGTCGGCAAACTGGGACACTGTCAGGAGGGTCCAGGGAGCAGCAAGCTTCAATGTGAGTCTGCTCATTCTTGTTATAACTATTGCATTTTTTTATTAAATAGATTTTTTTTTGTTTTTTTAAGGGTGGCAGGTGTTTTTGTGTGTGGGGGGGTTTGTAGAAGGGGGAGCAGAGGTTTTCTAGCTGGGATTTTGGGACAGGGGTTTTGGTTTAGGGAGGAGCAGAGGTTTTATAGAAGGGGTTAGGGGTTTTGTAAAATAGGGGGTAGAGGTTTTGGTGTAGGGGAGAGGTTTTGTAGAAGAGGGGGCAAGCATTTCTGGTGAAGTGGCAGAGGAAAGGATTTTTTGGAGGGGGCATGGGTTTTGTTCAAGAGGGGGCAGGGGGTTTGTAGAGGGGGCAGGAGTTTAGTATAAGGGAGGCAGGAGTTTAGTATAAGGGGGCAGGAGTTTAGTATAAGGGGGGCAGGGGTTTAGTATAAGGGGAGCAGAGGTTTTGTAGAAGGGCGCAGGGGTTTAGTATAAGGGGAGCAGGGGTTTAGTATAAGGGAGCCGTGGTTTAGTATAAGGGGGGCAGGGGTTTAGTATAAGGGAGCAGGAGTTTAGTATAAGGGGGACTGGGGTTTAGTATAAGGGGAGCAGGGGTTTAGTATAAGGGGGGCAGGAGTTTAGTATTAGGGGGTCAGGGGTTTAGTATAAGGGGGCAGGGGTTTAGTATAAGGGGGCAGGAGTTTAGTTTAAGGGGGCAGGGGTTTAGTATAAGGGAGCAGGGGTTTAGTATAAGGGGAGCAGGTGTTTAGTATAAGGAGAGCAGAGGTTTAGTATAAGGAGAGCAGAGGTTTATGTAGAAGGGGAGCAGGGGTTTAGTATAAAGGAGCAGGGGTTTAGTATAAGGGGAGCAGGGGTTTAGTATAAGGGGAGCAGGAGTTTAGTATAAGGGAGCAGGGGTTTAGTATAAGGGAGCAGGGGTTTAGTATACGGGGAGCAGGAGTTTAGTATAAGGGGAGCAGGGGTTTAGTATAAGTAGAGCAGAGGTTTAGTATAAGGAGAGCAGAGGTTTATGTAGAAGGGGAGCAGGGGTTTAGTATATGGGGAGCAGGGGTTTAGTATAAGGGGAGCAGGAGTTTAGTATAAGGGAGCAGGGGTTTAGTATAAGGGGGCAGGGGTTTAGTATAAGGAGAGCAGAGGTTTATGTAGAAGGGGAGCAAGGGTTTAGTATAAGGGGAGCAGGGGCTTAGTATAAGGGGGCAGAGGTTTAGTATAAGGGAGCAGGGGTTTAGTATAAGGGGAGCAGAGGTTTATATAGAAGGGGAGCAGGGGTTTAGTATAAGGGGAGCAGAGGTTTATATAGAAGGGGAGCAGAGGTTAGTATCAGGGAGCAGAGGTTTATGTAGAAGGGGAGCAGGGGTTTAGTATAAAGGAGCAGGGGTTTAGTATAAAGGAGCAGGGGTTTAGTATAAGGGGAGCAGAGGTTTATATAGAAGGGGAGCAGGGGTTTAGTATAAGGGGAGCAGAGGTTTAAATAGAAGGGGAGAAGAGGTTTAATATAAGGGAGCAGAGGCTTATGTAGAAGGGGAGCAGGGGTTTAGTATAAAGGAGCAGGGGTTTATGTAGAAGGAGAGCAGAGGTTTATGTAGAATGAGTGCAGGGCTTTTGTAGAGGGTGGCAGTGGTTTTGGTGGAGGGGAAGGTTTTTAGTGATATGTGTACATTACTGTATAGTAGATATATATAATGACAGCATGTGTTTTGTTAAAGGAGGAGAAGGAATTTTGTAGAACGGTGGGCAGGGCTTTTATTAAAGGGGGAGCAGGGGTTTTGTAGAAGGGGCAGGGGTTTTATTAAAGGGAGGCAGAGTTTTTGTAGAAAGGGGGCAGGGGTTTTGTGGAAGGGTTTTGTAGTAGGCGGAACAGGGCTATTGTTGAAGGGGCAAGGGTTTTGCTGCAGGGGGGGCACCACGTGTTGGGTTCGCACAGGGCGCCTGATTACCTAAGGCCGGCCCTGCTTGTCATTGGGGATGACAAAACACACCCTATCTGGCCCCGTCCCCTTTTCAGTGGGCAGCTGTAATTAAAAATGCCCGGGCCGAATTTTTTCCCCAGTCCGGCCCTGACTACAGCTTAATGTAATTGTTCTGGTGTGTATAATATGTCACTGCAGGCATTTTTATGTAAACACTGCCTTTTCAGGAAAAAGGCAGTGGTTACAGTGCTGCCTAGTTGTTTAAAATACAGGTATTGGCCACTTTGTTCATGCCTGCATTAGTGTTTTCAATAAAGCTAAAGGGAAAAAAAAAAAATCAGCAGCCTTGTCCATGTCACTGTCTAACCCTCGCATGTCCAATCCGAGCTCTGGATGACGGCTTGGTTGGAACGTAAAGGTTGCCTTGGTAACCAAAGCGGCCTAACGAGAGAACGCGGCCATAGAATCCTGGAATAGAAGATTAAAGGGATCTAAACGGCAAAAGGGGAGACAGGAGAGCAATAATACAATGCATCGTGTCAAAATGAAATAGGGATTAGAAGGATGCCGTCTAACCGCTGATACTGATAGAGTGTGACTGTGATCTCTCACCATGGCATCGCCATCTGACAGCAGCCGTGAGGGGTGAGATACTGTCTGCTTAGTAACTGGGCGAGTGTCTGTGATAATAATGAGAGCTTCCTGCATGCTGTGCTTTTACAGCTTGTGATAACGTTGCGACCAGCAGCTTATATGAGGCATTGCCTTGCGCGGCATCATGGGAAATGTAGTCCTTGACGGCTGGTGTGCATTGCAGCTGCTTGCCCGAGGCATATGATGTGGATCTGCACGTCCCATGATGCTCTTTGGTGCACCTGCATTTAAGTGTTATACATAGTGTAATAAGAGTGGACAAAAAAACAAACAAAAAAATACTCTCAACTATTAGCTGAATATAAAAAGAATGGGAGTTGCAGTCCACAACAGCTGAGTTGCAATAGGTTTGCTTATCTTGTCTACATGAAACTGCATAGCTCAGATAAGCAGTGTGTGACAGTATTTACTGTGTATGTCAACATGCATGTTAGTGTGTATTCTTGTCTTGGTGAGAAGCAACTGTATATACACTCAGGGTGGGGGTGAGTCTCAGTCACACTAACTCTGTAGGTTTCAAGATAACAACCTGTGGTTGGATGGTAATGTGGCACTGATTGCTTCTATCACTGGGTTTTAATTAATAACAGTCCGACAGTAGGTAGCAAATACAATACCTGTAATAATTGCAAAGACAGGTAATATCCAGTCTGGTCCGAGATCACGGAATATATGCAAATGTCAAACAGAGTCTAGAAATGTTATAATTTAGCTTCTTTTTTTTTTTTTTCCTCTTAGGTAAATACAACTAATAAACTGAAAATAAAATATACATTTAAAATCAAACTATTTGAATGTATTGTTTTATAAATGAACATGCTTGTTTTCACGGTGTGAATTGATAACCTTCTTTACAATAATGTTTAGATCTGTTTGATATAAGATACTTGCCCACACATGTGTAAAATAAAAATATAATATGTAGAACTAGTTCCTCTCAAAAAATCTTCGAGGTCATTTGTGTTCTTTATCCTTAGTATTTTTCCCGCTCTTGAGATCTGTAGTAGTATCCAATTTATATATAATGTTCTTTTAAACAACCACTGTTTTTATGTAATTGATGATAATATTACTACTCTGTTACAGTGAATCAAAGAGCACAGTACTTTCTCATATCACTTTTTTCCCAACTTTAGTGAATCTCATTCAAAGTGGCTGGATGCTCATTATGATCCTGTTGCAGGCCTCAATACATTATCTTCTTGTATTGGTAAGTGCATTATGTGCAGTGTTTGGGTATCTACTAAGCATATTTATATAGAGGAGTAACATAATACAAGGAGATATAGGGACATTGTTCCGGTCTAAACTGTGCATTGGAGTGAAAGATCACCAATATTTGAATTAATCTTTTTTCCTTGAAAGTGGAGGATATAAAACTAACATTTACGTAGTTAATTTTCAGAGAATAATTTGACTTAGGGTGGTAGGTAGAAATAATGTATGTGTTTGCTACAAGAAAGAAAGGTAACAGTTTATTGTACTAGCAGTATTAGGGTTTGTATTCTTACTCATACATCAGGTGTTGAGCTGGCATTACTTTACAAGAGTCATACCCGCTTTGAGGTTCGAACAACCGAAATACTAATTTATAGCCACTTACTTTGTCTACCACTTGCAGCCTTTTAGACACTGTTGACACATTTTCAACGCTAATCCATTTTTGTTCTAATTTTCTGTACTCAAGACTTGTCTGAATCCCTCTGGATAATTCATTGTGTCATGTTTGCAATTATATAAAACATGTCACTTTCATTCACTTCAAATACTTTTACTGTTTTGGTAACTTAGTAATTTTGCAAACTCAAAATAAAGAGTTTCTAAAATTCATAACTTTATCTTAACCACCATTCGTTCACTTTTTTGCTCTGAGTGCCCTAAGCCGATTCATGGAGATTAAAGGGAAGGATTATATCTGCTACTTATCAGGGAATGGGGGGCATCCGCAGACAGTGGACAGTAGCCTCTTAAAGTCAGCTGTTGTCGGAGTCATTTTGCATTGAAGGGAATCTTAAAGCACCAAAACTACTTTATCTTAATTAAGTGCTTTTAATGCATATATCACACCCATGCAGTTTCACTTCTCCATTCTCTGCTGCTTAGGCTTTAAAACTACTTTATTCCTGCAGCTTTTGTCACATGTCCCCTGCCTGTGACTCACGCACTTCCTGAAGAAAGGATTCACTTTCAAACCTATTTTAAGAGAGTTTGTTTATTTTAGAAGTTCACCTGCTCTGTTAATTGACTGCTAATGTAATGCAGCCTCCTGTGTGAGATCAGACAAATATATAGAAAAAGGAAACTAAAACTTCTTAGGGACAAACAATAAATCTTTGAAAATTGCAGATCAGTCACATTTTGGATCTGTTCCATCACAATTTGAGTATTTTGTTTTATTCTTCTAATTTGCAAAATATTTAATTATATAATAAGGCCCGTAGGAGACCAGAGTGTCGCCGCCAAGGACTCCCTTTCCACTGATATAATTATAGCCCAGAGATCATTTCAGTGGATTATAGCTGTTAAGAAAATTCACCCCAAGCAATAGCCGTGACTTAGTGTGGTGTGAAGTAGAACTGGTTTTGTTGAGAAAACAAAATACTTTTATACCTGGGTCCTCAATAGGAAGTCCCCAGGAGAACAATAGGGATTGCAGCATATCTGGTACCTGAGCAGGTAATTTAATTAGCGGCCAGACACTTCAGTGCTCATTAAGAATTTTACATTAAACATGGAGTGCCCATGCCCACATTCCCAAACAAATGGTGTCCCTGGAAAGCTCTCTTCTGAGCGCCCATCCTGTCCAAAAAGCGCTCGGATGAGGGATGGGTGTCACGAGTTAGCTGGAAGTAAAGTTTTGACTGGGCAGTGTCAGTCCTCCACTTCCCAAAGCGCTGGATGGAAAACCCTGGTCATCTAAAACGATGGTGCTTTCAGCAGGTACACGGAGCTCTCCTGGGTACCTTTTTAGATGCCTCACCGCCTCCTCTATTTACCCTCCAAATAGCGCACTGCTAGGTGACTCTGGGACAGCGAGCGCACATGACAAAGTCCGCGATCTGATCAGGAATTCCAGAGTGATTGGTGGCTGCTCTCGGTCAGGTGCGCTGTGTCTCTGTGGCCTTCCTGCAGGTCTACAATGCTTTTGAGACCACTGGGAAGGGCGCTAGACTGGGAGGCATGAACTGGAGGGGTAAATAAGGTGAAAATAGCTCTTTTAGAAGGAGTGGTGGTTGGGAGACATGTACCATTCCTGGGAGACCGAGTGGTCTGTCACACTTATTAACATGTATTTAAATGTATGTTTTATAACTTTATAACAAATGTGCTTACTATGCCCACAATGCTTCTCTAAAGGAAATATTTGATTAGACACTGCCCAACATGAGCAAAGAGGGTAGTGTGCAGCACAGCCCCAGTTTATGCATGTTTACTTATTTATTCAAGGATTTTTTTTAAAAATCATATTTTTTTAGGGTTGTACCAAATGATAAACGTTTTAACCTAATTTTCAACCAAAACAGCCATTAAAGGGACTTTGTACATACAACTTTAGCTTAATGTAGTTTTGTAGCCAAGATCATGCTCCTGCAGTTTCACTGCTAAACACTCTGCCATTTAGGAGTTAAATCACTTTGTTTATGTAGCCTTAGAATACCTCCTCTGCATGTGACTTACAGTTTTCCTAAACACTTCCTGTATAGAGAGATCTAATTTTTAAACGCCCTTTATTGCACAGTGTGTTTAGTTTCCTATCTCTTGCTTTTTTTAATAGCTTGCTACAGTCTGCAGTGGCCTCCTGTGTCTAATTAAAGTTCTATTAACAGACCAAGAGATAAAACCATCTAAAGCAGCGGTTCCCAAACTGTGTTCCCCGGGTCGCAGCGACGCGCACACAGGGGTGCCGCGGAATGTTTCCCTGGTGCTATAATTAACATTACTGCTCAACATGGACCTGGTCCTTTAAGACCGCGACCGGGCCCCTGTAATGTCGGCTGGCTGGGAGGAAGTGACAGCCTGTCACTTTCTCCCAGCATCCTCCATGGGAGACAGCGCGGGAGGAGCGGCAGAACTCCAAGCCACCCTCCTGTCACATAAAGTAAGCTAACAGGAGGGTGGCTGGAGATATATAAAAAATGATGTGAATATATGTAGTGTGCTTCTGTGTCTTTTTGCACACACATCTGTGTGTGTGTCAGGGTGTGTGCTTTTTATGTCAGTGTGTGTATCTGTGTCATGATGTGGGCATGTATCTGTGTGTATGTTGGTGTGTTTCTATATGTGTGTATGTATCGGTGCATTTATATGCATCTGTGTGTTAATGTGCATGAATATCTGTGTAAGTATGTATGTATATATGTATGTGCATACATCCAAGTAGTGAAACACCAGCACAACATACAAGCACACTCCTGCAGTCTAACACAAATATTACATACAAACACACCCCTGCATTCAAACAAAAAAATCTATACAAACAAACCCCTTAACTCAAACACAAGTACTCACACAAATGTACATCCACATTTAAAAGTGAACATTACATTCAGACACACCCCTGCAATGAAATGCAAACATTACATACAAACACACCCCTATATTGAAACACAATAACTATATACAAGCACCCCTTCGAACACCAACACTGTACATTACACTATAGCGCCAGTAAATGCAGCAGCGCTGTACAGATATACAACCTAGAAATTTTGACTCGGGGTGCCTTGGAAAAATACTGAAATATTTGGGCGGCTTGAACCTAAAAAGTTTGGGAGCCACTCATCTAAAGTATGCACAATGTGCTGTCAGATATGATTGAAAATGAACCATTTTTTCATGCAGGCTGTGTAAGTCACAGTCAGACTAGGGCTGCATAAACAAAGTGATTTAACTCCTGCTTGATGATTAACGATAGAGAATTGAGCAGTCTGAATCAGTGGCATGATGTATACACCAAAACTATTGTTTTGGTGCTTAGAATATTAATATAAGTATGTATTTCAGGGACTCCCCTCATTTAACAAAAAGTAATCCTAAATATTCATACAGCAACACTTTGTTTTGGTGGAGATATCGTGAGGTTTGTATTGCTCCTCTTTGAAAGGAAACCACTGTTATTTCTACCTGTTTAAGTATAATTTAATTAAAGAAATTACAACATTGCATTTTTTTTTCTTGCAGCTCTTGCCGATTTACATGGTGATGGGGAATATAAGGTAAAAAAATATAAAGAAATTACATAATTATTTTAATTTCAGTTGTAAAATACTTATGTAGTAGATATCTTGTTGTCATAGTCACTGATATTCTCATTTTCCATGACAGATGGTGGCTGGTGATCTGGGCAGTGGACCATATAACATGAAACTTAAAGTGTATAAGGGAACAAGCATGATGTCTGAGAATTCCCTGCTTGACTTGCCCACTGGTATAGCTACTTTCTTGATGGACCAGAATGAGCCACGTACACCAGCTGTTGCCGTGGCCTCTGGCCCTTTTATATATGTATACAAGAACCTGAGGCCATACTTCAAATTCACTTTACCAGCCATGGAGGTCAATCCTCTAGAAAAAGAAGTGTGGGACCAAGCCAAAGAGGTAAGAGACTTTATAAAGAAATTAGGTTTATTCAGTACACATGAGACCTAAAAGAGAACTTTATTTTCTAGGATTTTAAAGGAACATTATAGCATTAGGAATACACATATGCTTTCCTAATACTCTTATGTTAGCTAGTTTTAAAAAAAAAAGTTTTACTTACCTTATTCTCCCCTGCATGCCAGTCTCACATGGGCCTCCACTCCTTTCCCGGGCTGAGGTCACCAATATGGAAGATCTCCTAGGGAAGCATTGGGGACTACTGCGCATGCGCAATGTAGCGGACCACCGGTAACCCTACTGGTTACCTCCGCTAAACTCTCCTCTCAGCCAGAACTGGAACCGTTAGTTAATATAGCTCTGTTCCCACAGTAATCAGACCAGACATAGTTCTGGGAGTAATCTGTTTTTATTGCTCAGAATGCAGCCTTTTATGCCAAGATCCCCAGCTTGGGGTCTCCATTCTTTACACATAAATCCCGCCCAGGCGTCTCTGTAATAATTGAGTCAAAGCTCGTTAAGTTAATTATGTCCCGGATACAGAGAGCCGAATACATAAAAACCCTGAAAACTGTTATGACACCCAAAAGTCTTATATCCCTGGATAGCTCTCGGTGGAGCACCCAAACCACTCCGAATAGCACTATGATCCGTGGATGTTTGGAAAAAGTCACCCCGTTCAGGTTTAGACCGACCGCTAGCGTGGTCTAATGCCAAAAATAGTTAAAGGCAATTAAAGGTATTTGCCAGTGCTTTAACTGGGTCTCTGGATGGTTGTGGAAGGGGGATCCCCCTGGCTTATAGGTAGCAATTGTTCCTTACAAAGTATTGTAGCTCCCCTCCAAAGAGAATTCTCCTGCGGTATTGGGAAAGGAGTGAAAACCAGGAGACAAGTTAGCAAGTTAGCTGGTACATGTGGCCGAACCGGAGTTCCAGGGCGAACACAGATAGGTCCCGCTGATGCATTTGGTATGCTCCGGCTCGGGGAATAGTTTGCGAACAGCAAGATATAGGTGCCTGCTGGGCTCCTATGGATGGGAGGAGCAACAGAGGGCCAGGGCCAGGGGAGTGATGTAGTCTTTCGGGTGGTTTTAGTGGTATCTGCCACACAGCTCCCCCTAACCATTAGCTGGCATGCACAGTTTGAACTCCCACAGATCTGCTTGGGGATAACCAGGGGCTCACAGATCACCTTTCAAATTCAGTCTGGCATGACAACCTATCAGCGTTTCCATTCCATTTACCGTGTGATAATGGATGGTGAAATCATAGGGCTAGTGTGCCAGGCTCCAATATAACAGCCTGATATTGTCCCAAGCCACCCGGTTTAGCCACACTAACAGGTTGTGATCCGTGAGCAGGGTAAATTATTGTCTATAGATGTAGGGCCCACACCACCGCAAGGCATTCTTTTTCGATGGCAGCGTAGCTCACCTCCTGGGGTAGTAACTTTCGGCTAGAGGTTAGCGATCGGGTGTTCTCCGCCATCGTCCTCGACCTGGCTTAGCACTGCTCCCAATCCACACATAGAATTCTATGTGAATAAGAAAGCGTTTAGTTGGATTAGGAACTGCCAGGATGGTGCGTTTCCTAAAGATCTCTTAAGTTGCTGGAATGCTTGCTCGCACTCAGGGGGCCAGACCATTTGACGGGGCAGGTTTTTACGGTTTAAGTCTGTGAGGGGCTTTGCTAGGGCACTTTAGTTCGGGACAAACTTCCTATAGTATCCGGACGTTCCTAGAAAAGCCATCACCTGGGTCTCAGTACAGGGAGTGGGCCAGTTGGCTACAGCCTCAATCTTTGCAGGGACGGGTTTCTGTTTCCCGCAATCCACCTGGTGTCCTAGGTATTGGACTTCTGCCATTCCTATATGGCACTTGTTGTTGAGTTTTAGGGTCAATCCTGCCTCTCGGATCCTATTTAATACAGCCCCTGCATGAACCAAATGGTCTTCCCAGGTGTTAATAAACACTGCAAGAAACTGGCCATTCAGTAATGTTGATCCTATCCTGGCAAAGTCTTGACCTGCACCAAATAGAGAAGCATTCCAGTGTATCCACCTTGCCATGGCATTATTTCTGTCTTAATAGTTTTTCCACAACAAATGAAGTAATGCTAAAATCCCAAAGAGAGTAGCAGATTGGTTAGAACTATGAAAATTGGGGGTGGGGGAGGGAAGGAGAGAGGTTGGATGTGAAAGAAAACAAACCAGGTTTAAGTATATTTTATAAAAAAAAAAAAAAAATGAAAATATTTAACTAAACCGCTTAACATACTTGTACTTACTCTCACATAGGACAAGATTGACCCCATGACTTTGAAAGAGATGCTGGAAGGAATTAGGTATGGGAAAAAAAAGAACCACTTTTCTCTGTCCCCGCCATAAAAACTGTCACCCAGTGGCCAGGCTGGTTAATAGCTCCATTTGAAGATAAAAATATCTTTCTTTTGTTCTGATAGATGGAGAACATGGTACAGAAATATACTAGTAATGAGATATGGTTGTTCATCTTTTTTTTATTTATTTATTTATTTTTTTATTTCAGCATGCTTTAATAAGTATTTTTGCTTTCCAAGATGAATGTCGGTCTCTGAGATGAACATATACTGTAAATAGGGTGGGACTGTTTTTAAATGGATTGTTGGACTTCCAAAATGTATACTTGATTATAGATGTGGATTTCTAGATTATCTTTAGTGATGAGAACTGGTATGCTCACATGTAAGATGCTATTCTACTTTAGCCAGAAAGGTATCAGTGATTATTGTTCTCATATCGTATGTGTCTTGAAAATAGAAAAGGTGTGCTATTCTACTTACCAAAAGAATAATTAAATTATTTTTTTTGTGGGGGAGCTTGTTATCCATGATTATTTCCTGATACTAAATATTTAAAATTAGTGACTTGGCAACCACTGTGGAGTCGCTAGAAAGGCACTATCATGAGCAGGTGGGGACTATTATAATATACGAGGAGGAACCTACTGTCCCCATCACCACACTTCACCCATTGACGGTGAGAGATGACCCCTATTTTAATATTAAATGGTGGAGGACCTAGTGGCCTCGAGCCCCATGGGTAGTGGGTGGGAGCTCTAAATAATCAAACAACTGGGGTATATATGGCATTGGACACCCCTCAAATGGATGCAAATCTCCCAACGGGTCAATAAGGGTCTCCAATCCCCTAGCCATAGAAACATAGAAACATAGAATGTGACGGCAGATAAGAACCATTCGGCCCATCTAGTCTGCCCAATAGCCACTCCCATTAAAAATAAATAACGCTATCTACCTCTCCTCGTCCTAATAATAGTATGGGGTGGAGGGGAAATACAACTAATACCTCTTAAAAATATATACTTGCCATTAAAGTTTGAGAATAGATAGTCTTCATGAACCAATATGCTTTTATATAATGTTGATATCTGTCTATTTTTTTAAATTGGCATAGAGCGTGTCAAACAGTACAGCTTGCTATGTTCAGTCCCTACCTTAGATAATTTGTGGGAAATAATATATTTTTTTCATTTTCACAGGGATAAAGCAGAGGTTCCGCTCTCAGTGAGGTCACTGCGGTACGTTGACTGCATACTTCTCTATGATGTGATTTGCCATACTGGTGTTGATTAATCTTTGGATTGATTAAGACACTCTTTTGATGAACTTACATGACACAGCATGATCTTTATCACGTTTACGATAAAGTTTACCATTACTCTGTTACAGATTCTTGATGTTGGAAGCACAAGAGATGGAAGCTTTCGTGAACACTTATAAACAGCAGCCCCTGAAGCGACAGGTACACTTTTGAGTGAGAAGAGTGATGGAGATGATTTTTAAAAAAAATTTGTCTGCACAGAGAGAGGAAAAAATAAAAAAATGTACTATTTCACTTTTCTAAAGGATAGTAACAATCTGATTATAATTTTTTTGCAGCTGTTAAAGGGGCACACTGAGCACCAGAATTACTGCTCACTAGCTTAATTTTCTGAGAAAATATGGTGTATACATTTGTCCCTAACACCAGCTGTAGTGGCTGTCAGTTATAGGAACTATAGGGTTAGCAACACAAACATGTATTAATAACCCAATAGTGTTAAAAACACCATCTGTCACCTACCTCCCCTCGGTCCCTTAAATATAGTAAAAGTTTACTTTTATTTAAGTCTACAGCTACTGGCTCTGCCCCTGTTCATGATTCTCTGAGCCAATCAAAATGCTTTCACATAGGATTAGCGATTGCCAAGGAGGCAGATCGGGGGGAGAGCCAGCACAAGTCAAACACAGTCCTGGCCAATCAGCATCTCCTTGTAGAGATGCATTGAATCAATTAAGTTCTGTGTCTCCATGCAGAAGGTGGAGACACTGAATGGCAGTTCTTCACACTGTGCAGCACTGCCCCCAGAAGGCACCTCTAGTAGCTAGAGAAGGTACCCCTAGGCTGTAATGTAAACACTGCATATTCTCTGAAAAGACAGTGTTTACTGCAAAAAGCCTGAAGGCAAAAATTTTACTTACCAGAACAAATATAATAAGCTGTAGTTGTTCTGGTGACTATAGCGTCTTTTTAAACAGTACCTAGAGGCCCTTCCTGGTGCAGTCCTGCAGTCTTTGCAGGACCAACATTCAGCATCTTGAAGCTCTGCATGTAGTCGCTGAATGCTCTCCATGCATTGAGCCAATTCATCTATGTGAAGAGATGCTGATTGTTGCAGCATGGCAGTTGCAATACATTCACACAAACCCCCAATGCTTCTCTATGGGGAAGCATTGTATTGGTTGAGGTCATCATGAAGTCTATTCCCATAATCCTATTTCTTTCTACTTTGTGTAAACAAGAGATCTGTATTTTTGCAAAAGTTACAAGAAATAATGTATTCAAGGACAAGCACAGATAATTCTTGAACCATAACCAATTTAAGAGGCGTAATTGATTGTTGCGTGGAGTCCATTTAATATCTTGCTATATATTGGGTTTTTAGTCTTTTGTACCATTACAGAAAGAGCATATTATACCAGTCTTACCTCCATGGGTAGTTCATACCCAAAATACCAGAGAGATAGGAACTGGTTGACTGAGCCTCTCACAGCACTTTTTTTAGACCTTGTGAGAGGGAACTACAAGACAAACTAAGTATTTGTTAGTTTCTGATATATATTTTCTACACCTTTTTGCCTGATTCATCATCAATTTTTTTTAGAAACAAATTTGTTTAGGTTGAATGTATTTGTGAATTCTAGTTCACCCTTAATGTATGTATTGCAGACTGTAATTACATGTATGGGTACTCTGAAGAAAAATATGGCAGATGAAGATGCTGTTTGTTGCCTCGTAATCGGGACCGAGAGTGGAGAGATATTTATTCTGGATCCAGAAGCATTTACCATATTAACACGGGTGAGAGCTAATATCAGTGAATACAAATCGGCCTGTCGATACTGTAGTTCTCAACTTAAATGTATGCAGGGAAAGACTTTGTGTAGATAGGTTTAAAGTAGAGTACAGTAGTTTAGAGTAGATTAGAGTGCATAGTGTCCTGAAACATTCAAGGTAATTCGATTTATTAACAATAAAAGAAATGGATCCATGTTTTGTCAGTGAGGATGTGATCTTTACAGAACCTTTTTCCACAGGTCAGTCTTCCAAGTGTGCCGACCCTACTGGATATTACAGGACAATATGACATAGAATATCGTATAACAGTGGCTTGTCGCAATGGAAATGTGTATATTCTCCGAAGGTATAAATGCACACCTAGCTATAAAACAGTTCATAACATTTTTGATAGTCTGAAAAATGTAATATTTTAATGTATTCCCTATGGAATGACCATATGTTGAATACATAAAGAACATTGAACATATACTTTTTTTTTTTTTTTACCGTGACAAACCGCAAAATGTACATTGTTCTATTGGTTTACCGGGCTCCTCCTCTTCCTCTTATGTAAGAAGATACAAATGGAATTGTCCAAAAGTGACAACTCATGTAGATCTGGCTCCTTTTTTGGGCTGGAAAGTTGTTGCAATAAAAATAAAGGGCCACCAATAGCAGTACGGCCAAATATCTTTTTCCCAAAGACTAGTTTAAAGGTTGATGCCAAGTATCACTTATACTTAAATACTTGGGGCAGTATGAGCGTTCTCCAGAATGCAGGGAGAGTTGTAGCACAATAAATATTTTCATAAGTAATTGAATCTTCCCATGGATGTGATATGTATTATTTATATTTACCATTATAACTAAGATATGCTAATTACTTGGAATACAAATTTGCCTCCTCTTTTCCTATAGGGATTCCAAGCGACCTAAGTATTGCATTGAACTATGTGCCCAGGTGGTGGGGCTTGTTCGTGTGCAGAAGAATATAATGATTGGTACCTCCCAGGAGATGCTGCATGGATACTCACAGAAGGTAAATACATACAGTTGTGCTTAAAAGTTTGCATACCCTAGCAGAAATTGTGAAATTTTGGCATTGATTTTGAAAATATGACTGATCATACAAAATAAATTATTTTATTGAAGGATAGTAATCATGTGAAGCCATTTATTATCACATAGTTGTTTGCCTCCTTTTTAAAATCATAATGATAACAGAAATCACCCAAATGGCCCTGATCAAAAGTTTACATACCCTTGAATGTTTGGACTTCTTGCAGACACACAAGTTAACACACAGGTTAAAATGGCAATTAAAAGTTAATTTCCCATACCTGTGGCTTTTTAAATTGCAATAAGCGTGTGTATAAATAGCCAATGAGTTTGTTGGCTCTCATGTGGATGCACTGAGCAGGCTAGATACTAAGCCATGGAGAGCAGAAAAGAACTGCCGAAAGACATGCGTGACAAGGTAATGAAACTTTATAAAAATGGAAAAGGATATAAAAATTTATCCAAAGCCTTGAAAATGCCAGTCAGTGCTGTTCAATCACTTATTAATAAGTGGAAAATTCAGGATCTCTTGATACCAAATCAAGGTTAGGTAGACCAAGAAAGATTTTTGCCACAACTGCCAGAAGAATTGTTTGGGGTTCAAAGAAAAACACACAGGTAACCTGAGGAGAAATACAGTCTGCTCCGGAAAAAGATGGTGTGGTTGTTTCAAGGAGCACAATACGTTGATACTTAAACAAAAATGAGCTGCATGGTCGAGTTGCCAGAAAGAAGGCTTTACTGCCACATTGTTACAAAAAAGTCTGGTTACAATATGCCCGACAACACTTTGACATGCCTCACAGCTTCTGGCACATTATAATTTGGAATGACGAGACCAAAAAAGAGCTTTATGGTCACAACCATAAGCGCTATGTTTAGAAAGAGGTCAACATGGCATATAGTGAAAAGAATACCATCCCCACTGTAAAGCATAGTGGTGGTTCACTAATGTTTTGGGGGAGGGGAAGGGGTGAGATGAATGCAGGATGTTATCAGAAAATACTGGCAGAAAATTTGTATTCTTCTGCACAAAGTTGCGCATGGGACGCTCTCGGACTTTCCAGCATGACAATGACCCTAAGCACAAGGCCAAGTTGACCATCCAGTGGGTACAGCAGAAAGAGGTGAAGGTTCTGCAGTGGCCATCACAGTCTCCTGACCTTAATATCATTGAGCCACTCTGGGGAGATCTCAAACGTGCGGTTCATGCAAGACGACTAAAGACTTTGCATGACCTGGAGGCATTTTGCCAAGACGAATGGGGAACTATGCCACCTGCAAGAATTAGGGGCCTCATAGACAACTATTACAAAAGACTGCACACTGTCATTGATGCTAAAGGGGGCAATACACAGTATTAAGAACTAAGGGTATGTATTAAGAACTCAGACTTTTGAACAGGGGTTATATCGGTTTCTTTTTCCTTGTTGTCCTGTTTTGTTTTTGTGCCATTGTGTTATAACCTACAGTTGAATATGAATCCCATAAGAAATAAAAGAGATGTGTTTTGCCTGCTCAATGATGGATTTTTTTTTTATTATTATTTTTTTTTTTTAAATGGTACATATATTACCAATTCTCCAAGGGTATGCAAACTTTTGAGCACAACTGTAATATACTTTTGTTGATTTACTTTTTGCTCCTTCCTTGGATTCACCAATTGGCCTACTTTATAGTTCATGGTAATAGTGGCACTTTAACATCAAATAACTGCTATTAAATGATAAAATGGTTTTCTGTTTTCAAGAAATGTCTTTTAAAGTCCAAAACCTTAGTTTTGAAAATAATTATTTCCTTTCAATGATGGGTACCCTTATTGTCTCTCTTAGGGAGAGGTATTTAATTACATGCTCCTTTTGTTATTTGAAGATCATAACGAAGATTGTGAATTCAAACCTCCTTAATTTACATGACTTACCATCTCAAAATGATTTACTGTAATTTATAGAGATGGTGTTATCTTGTGAATTATGGACTTTTGAGCCATTTAGCAAGTTCCCTATGGTAACTTACTGCCCACAAAAGAAGGGGATGTTATCTGCTCATAACCCTTACTTTCCTTCTCTACAATTCTAAACCAACTTCATCTGTATGGTGATTTTGGCTTCTTTGATTAATTTTTTTGGTATCTGGTGGTGGGGGCATATATCTAGGAGTTCTGGAGATGTCGTTATAAACCAAAAGTCTTAAGAGCTCTAGAGTAAATGTAGAGGGTGTAGAGTGTTTTCTTATACACATTTACGCACTTTATTAATTATTGATTATTTCATGTTTAATAGGGAAAAAGATTGTGGACGGTTAAACTCTCTGCATCTGTTATGACTATGTCTTTGCTGGAACAGAAATCACGTAGTATCCAGGCTGTACTGGTGGGGCTGAAAAATCTAGAGGTTCACCTCTACAGGGACAAAAACCTACTCAGTGTAATATCTACCCCGGTAAGCCACAGTTTATGTGTCGTCTTTAAAATCTTTTTCTGTATCTGATCTAATTGTGTCTTTCCACTTCATTAGCTATATCTTTGCCCTCCATTTCCCCTTTACTTTTATCCACTCTCGACATACTACTTTAGCCAGTTGTCATCACCTACATACATTTATCGATAACATTCCTTTTTTTTTTTTTTAATCTTTCTGAGATTCTCTACATATTTCCCCTTCCATCCATTTTCTCCCTCTGTCTTCTTCTCTTTCATCTATTATCTTAACACATATCATCTTTGTTGACTTTCATACCTTTTTACCTGCTACATTGCTTCAGTCTCTCTTTTCATTTCTTGTCTTTTTCACCTTAAACTCTTAAGCTCATTGTCTATGTAACTATGTAAAAGCTCTTTTTTTTCAGGATATTGTAACTGGTCTTTGCTTTGGACGGTATGGGAGAGAAGATGACACTCTAATCATGACCACTAAAGGTAGAAACTATTTGTAGAAAGGCTATCTAGTGAGCAAATGATCTAAAGATTTTGTTTTTGTTTACTATCTTCTCTGTATTATTTCTCAATTTTTTTAACTAGGAGGTGGCCTTATTATTAAGATTTTGAAGAGGACTGCTCAGTTTGAAGATAAGGATACAGCCCCAGGTCCTCCTACTGGCCAGAGTGTCAAGCTCAATGTCCCAAAGAAGACCAAACTTTACGTGGACCAAACACTCAGAGAGAGAGAGAATGCAGTGGGTAGGAAGTTCCTGACACAACCTAGAGCATGATATGAAGCTGTCATTTCCATGATTATCCCCTTAAAGACACATAATGAAAATTTTCATTCATCATTCCCTTTTATTTTCAAGGGGTTAAGTGACACTGTGCCAGATTCCATCTTAATTGATTGTTTCTCTTGATTCAGGATAATCACTCTGGACCAGGTCTAGATGTTTTCTCTCCCTTTGCAGTATAAAAGCTACACACAGAGTGGAAGATACTTGTCTTTTTGCAATCTATAGTTGCATGATTGTGAGTCATATTTTAGTTTTGTCCCTATATGGACAATGACAACATTGTAAGCGAGATCTGTGATTGCGCCTTCACTTTGAAGGTGACATACTACTAAGAGATACGCCTACCTTAGCAAAACTGACCATGTGAAGGATATTATTTCTCAGTTTCTGATTGCTTCTTCCACAGCAATGCATCGTGTATTTCAAATGGATCTTTACCGCCTCCGTCTCACTGCAGCCCGAGCTTACGTCAAAGCATTGGATGCGAGCCTTGCTCCTGTATCTGCCTCAATGCAAGATCAAATCACGCTGAATGCAGCAGTGAGTACAAATCAGCAACTTAATGCATAGACCTCCCCTGCACAGGGTTGCTTTAGATAATGAATCATTAATAAGCATTACTGTTTCTCCTCTATGATGCAATTCATCACTCCATTCCAAAATATATATTCTTTCGTTCTCTTCTTCCGTTGTAATTTTCTTTCAAATTGTGACTTGTTATTTCTTATCGTGAAATATGCCAACGCAGCAATAGCTAACCCCAGCACTGCAGAACTGTGTGTAAGAAATATTTAATTTAGGTAATTTGCAGGCTCTTTGAGCTCTGGCAGTGACACTCTGTAACCACGATTTTCAACATTATAGATGATATATAGATTATTGATTATAAGCATGTTTTGGCAGGGCCCTCTTCACCTAGACAGTTCCTGTATGTCATACGTGTTTGTTAGAATTAAAAGGTTGTCTTGTTTATCTATTGTACAGTGCTGCAGAATATGTTGGCCCTATATATAAATAACTGCATTTGTCACTCGTGGTTTTCAATCCTTCTCCTGATGAGAGTTGCTAATTGCCCGGCCTCTTCAGAAGTCCTGAAGAATCTGATTATAACGGGTGTGTCACTCTTAGTCTTGAAACGTCTATTGAAAGTTGATAGAGCCCTTAGAAAAGATTATTCAGTATTATAAATTACATGAGGCAATAATCTCAAAGCTGTTCGTTCCATTTTTATCTTATTTCATATTTCGCATTACTGGATTCCTTCCGTATTGCTTATATATTACCACGGTAAACTACCAATTAATGATCGGAAACTAACATTATACTAGGAGCTGATATTTTTATATTTTACTTTGTCATAAATATTATATATATGAAATGAACATTTAAGCATTTACATATAACAATAAACTCCTAAATAAGCAGGCATGTATGAAATGTATTTTTTTCTTTATCAACAGTAAAATAGATGCACTGACAAGATGCGCTGAGAAAGGTCTTGTTGTCCGAAACGTTTGCTAAATATCTTTATTCTTCAATAAATGTGATAGCACCTGTTGCACAGCATACTTGAGCGAATTTTTTTTTTTTATTTTTTTTTTTAAATTTTATTTTTTTATTTTTTTTACCCACTGATGGAGCTACAGTGTGGGAGAAAGCAGCACCTCAGAGAGTCTTTTGATGATTGCATTGTTTAAAATGTTTGTTGACACCTAGTTAGCCTCAGCCTCATGTCTAGTATATGTAAAATAATTCCTTAAATTAAGTATAAAGAATGGGTTAATTTTGGCAGGAATAATGCCTGCAACTGTGCGTTCTTAACAAGTTCTGTAAAATTAGTGCATTTAATCAATCTCACTTCATGTCATTTTGGAAAATAGTGTGTGTTTTGTTTTATTTAATTTAGGTGCAAGGTATTGGTCCACGATTCAAGTTGATTTTAAATTTACAAAACACCTCAGTGAACCGACCTTCTATGCAGCTGTTAATCAGTTTCCTGTATGATGAAAGGCTTTACCAGATCAAGCCAGCGTTTTTCAAGGTATTTTTTTTTTTTTGCTTTCACATTTATATTGGTCTGCCTAACATGTAAAAGTGCTACTCACTATGAAACATTTTGAATGTAAATGTATAATATTCACAAAGTAATAATCTCAGATTAATATATTAGATTTATCTCCAACTCAGCCTAGTATAGCCATACATATTCTTTAGCCAGGATTGGGAGAAGTTGTTGGGTAAATTATAGACTTGCCTTTTTTTTTTGGCCCTTGTCTTGCCTGTTTTTTTGGCCAGGGCCTATACTTAAATTTATTCCATTGTGGCTTATTGTTTTTGCAAATGTAAATAACCCTCACTGTTCTCACTCTCCATTTTCAGACAGTCCTGCAATAAATCATTCTGGCTCTATCTCGCCATGCTCCTGCTCTTACACAGAGCCTGCCCCTCCTCCCTACTTCCCCTTGCATGCATTGCTTTCCCTTAAAGGACCACTCTAGGCACCCAGACCACTTCAGCTTAATGAAGTGGTCTGGGTGCCAGGTCCAGCTAGGGTTAACCCATTCTTTTATAAACAAAGCACTTTCAGAGAAAATCACAGTGAGAGCACGCAAGCGTCCATAGGAAAGCATTGATAATGCTTTCCTATGTGACCGGCTGAATGCGCGCGCAGCTCTTGCCGCGCGTGCGCATTCAGCCGCATGGGAGGAGAAGAGGAGGATCGGAGGAGGAGAGCTCCCCGCCCAGCGCTGGAAAAAGGTAAGATTTAACCCCTTTTCCCCTTCCAGAGCCGGGCGGGAGTGGGACCCTGAGGGTGAGGGCACCCTCAGGGCATTATAGTGCCAGGAAAACGAGTATGTTTTCCTGGCACTATAGTGGTCCTTTAATAATAGTAAAAAATATGTACAAAATGTCTAAAATTGCTAAATAATAAATTCAAATATTAAAAAAACAAAAACAGCTGCTGCAAATAAAAACAGGAGACCCGGTAGAGGTAAATCCTAAAATGAAATCCCCCCACCCCCCAAAAAAGCCATAAAAGATAATGAACTGCACTAACAAAATTATATCTAAACATTGTTCACAGTTTTCAAACTAATAATCTTAAACGACAGCACATTTTGGAAAAAATATGAGCAATTTTTATAGCTGCAAACAATATATAAATAGCATTAAAATAAAAAACTTACAGTATCAGTCCACCTTAAAGATCTCCCACTTTCCATTGTCAATCCAATAAAATGGTTAAAAAAAAGTTTTCACAAACTGTTCCTTACCTGCAATTTTCCCTTCGATCCTGTAGAGGCTTGCAGAGGGCATCAATTTATAAAATATCAAATGGGTGAAATCTCTTAGTCACCAAGTGCCCTAAAGTGCAATTATGCTTGCATTATCTACCCATTGTACAGCGCTACGAAATTTGCTGGCGCTAAATAAATAATGTAATAGTAATTATCTGGAGAGACATTCATCAATCCCTTAGGACAGGCTGCTTGTGTGTGTTTTTGCGGTTATATATGTATATGTTGCTCGTATTTTTTCCAGAGTGTGCTGTCGTATAATACAAATCTGATTTGAACCCTAGATATCATTCCTACTCTTAGTCTAATGCTATCCCTAAAAATCATCTGAGAACCAATCACAATGATCACATAGCCTTAGCTGTTAAGATATTTAGGTCACTGTTATTGGTTCTCACAGCAATCACAGTGTATGGGAGCTAATAGATGGTTATTACTGGACTGCCTTAATTTGAGGCTTCAGCAGTAGCATGGGATACTTTGTCCTGTGATTAAATATTAAATGATAGCTGAGGTACATTTTAAACTATAGAAAATTCAATTTCATCTAAATTATAGAAATTAAAATTGCAAGCAAATGTCTAGACTTCTTTAAAATCATAGATTAAAAAATACAAGGCTTTTCCAGTTCCTGTCAATCAATTTAATCTGTGCCAATCAGCACAGAGATAAGAAGTCTGTGCTCTGCATGTCTGTTATATCAGGGGAACCCTCTCCTGTGGGATAAATAAATATCAAACAAAATGTATATAATTCTAAACTCTATATTCATAGGGAATACTACTCAAATATGGTACATAAAAGGAAAAGAAAAAGAAAAAAACAATAGTATGATACTGTATTTACACCCACAATCAATGTGACAATGTGAGTAAACAAACTCATGTGTGCCAGAGCCTTACTGAGACAGCTCCAATGTTTATGCCTTCTTTGCCATTGAGGCTTCAGATCCCAAAGAAAAAAATATGAACAAAAGCCAGAATAGTGTAGTATCCTCCAGTTCTAGGAAGAGCATACTGCACTATTCCACATTTGTGTTGCAGCTGCTGTTGATTGTACACATGCACACTAAAGAGCACTTCACTCACATTCACTTTTTGTTTTTTTTGTATAGCAACACAGAATGATTTATTGCATGTGCTTTGGGCAGGCAATCTGAGAATGGAGAGAAAGAGAGAGACAACAGATATGTTTTATTTACGTACCATATATCCAACATAAAGTGCAGGGGACTTTCAACCAGTTATAGAAAGCAAGCTGGTGCTTCTCAAGCAAGGGTATGCAGGAGAAGTGTGTCTTACTATAAGTGTAACATCACTTGCTTGAAACAATATATCATAGATTATCCATTGTTGTGCATATGGTGCTAGCAGGCTTGTGGTCCCCCGATTGGTTTTGACATGAACAAGGGTTCCCCGGGTGGGCACATAACCGCCCCTTTTACTGTCATTTTCCAAACCTTTTTTCTGTTTAATCTGCCTTTTTGCCTGTATGCTTATCTCCATTTTTTTCTTCTTTAGGTCCCTCTCTTGGTGCCTGGCTTAAACTATCCAATTGAGACATTTGTTGACTGCTGTAACGACAAAGGGATTTCTGACATTGTCAAGGTGAGACACCAAAAAATATAAATCTCCCGTACCGGTTTAGTAACCGGCATGGACTAAATGTCTGATATACCAATATGATGTTTTATTTACAGAGTAAAGATACTGCATTAGAATTCAGCTACCATTCAACCTATCATGTATTCCCTGTTCCCATGCTTTGTAATTAATTTGACCTAATTTATTTTTTATTTTTTTTCTCCCTAGGTTTTTGTATTGAAGGAAGGAAAGAGCACCCCGCTGCTAACTGCTCACATCAATATGCCTGTCAGTGAAGGTCTAGTTGCTGCCTAAGAAAGATACATGGATAGACAATCTAGTAATATTTTGTTCGAGCTTCAAAAGAGGACTTTAGCAACTAAATAGTAGCCTAGAACTTAACAATGATAGAGGCTCCACTATTCATATAATAGAAAGTGAAAACAAAATGCCCTGTGATGTATAATGTACATGTTCATATGCTTTCAGCAGGATCAGGGAAAGACAATTCTATAAACATTACAGGGCCACAGTATCACAGATTCTCCATCTTATCTAAGGATTTATGGAACTTCTACTTTGATGGTAAATACAAGTTCATTTCCCTATTTAGTCTACTCAAATTATTTTATTGAGGCTGGCTCTATAATAGAGCATAGGCTAGGTTGCCGGATCTCTATAAATATAAATGATTTATATTGTTATAAAATGGTTACAAATACATTGTACAGTAGACCAAACGTAGTTAGGTGATTGTAGACATGAGAGGATTCTGAGCATAACCCTAGAAGGGACACTGCCAAATTTGCAATGGGTAGAGAAAAAATGTTTTACATTGTAATTACCAATAAAACACAATGTGCGGTGTGTATGAATATTTCACAGAGATCCACATTAAAAACCTCACAGTAACCTGTGATGAGAATTAATATAATGTTTACATTTATGTTCAGGAGCTCTGCACCCCTATACACTACACATTAGTTTTACTGGTGTGGATCTTTTTTGTGATACACCTATGAACGACACACCTTACTCATTATCCCTCCACCTCACTTACTTTCTCTCATTTCTCATGATTGCAATCTGTCCAATTTTCATATCTCCTACTCATTCCATGTCCCATAATTAATGACCCATCGTCCCCCGTTTTCATGTTATAATTTCTTTCCCCTCCCCTTTCCATGTTGCTATTGTCTCATCCCATTACCCTTAATTACATCTTCCCCTCCCTATGTCTACTTTTATACTAACTCTAGACTCCGCAATCTGTCCTTTTATTCTTTCTGTAAACTCCTTCACAACTTCTATACCTCCCAGCCCCAATACATGTCCATCTCAATTTTATCACACCCCACTTCATTGTATTTCTCATTTGCATTTTTTTATGCTTTAGATATCAAAGAAAATTTTTACTTAAATAATATAAAGTGTGGGGGGATGGGAATAGGTTTAAGGATCAATTTGACGCCGCAGCTCCTCACAGTGGTGCTCACTCCATATCACCCATGGGTCCGTACCATTGATTTTATAGATACAAAAAACATTACAGGCAGTGTGTATCGCTGTTACTTGTTAATGTTTCCTCTGTTCAGTATTCCCTTAGTGAGCAAGATCTTTTCCAGAAGTGAGTGGAAGGTGATGCTTCATTCCCATAACCCACTACATGCCTCACTTACTCGCACAGAAAACGGTGACGGGCTGCCATGATACACTCCACTTGTCACTATTATTACATCTGTATCACAAACTGTAGGAGGTAATGTATTGTTGATTGATTGTTGACTTTTGGTTGCGCCACATCTATAAGCATTACACATGGCGGTACAGATAAAGAGTGGAAATCCTAAAAACGAAGGGTAAAACCTGGCATCTTCTAGGTTGAAAGATAATAAGAACCCATTGTGATTACACCGGTGTCTCCTTCCAGTGTTCCATAAATAAATGCTCATGTAATTATGACTGCTTTATTTCAGCAACTACGTTTACTATTTATTTTGTATTGTATATAGTGTATTTAATAGAAGGTAGTGTTCAATAAATGTAGAATTCATGGCATTTTATTTGTCCAAATTGTTTGTTATTACCACCAAAAGAATAATGACGATGTCAATAGACAATTACATAAATATTGGGCATTTACTCCTTATTAATTTTAATTACATAGAAGTTGACAAGTGAGGCATAAACAGGTGTACAAATGCTATGCATTACACACCAAAGGTACGCAGTCAGGGTCAGACTCCAACATCTCCCAAATATTAGAAATGTCTATGGACAATTATTTGCATTTTAAACTAGAAGCCATTTTAAAGAATTATAAAATTTAGATATACAATTGTGTATTTCTAACATAATTGTGTTCTACATATTTAGATTTAACTGTAAGCAAAGCATGCAAAGGCTGCAGCCTGTGCATATATAATCAAATTACTTTGATAACTAAATTTAGACACTGAATATTTCTGTAGTAACACATGATGTATCTGTTGGTACAACTGCCTTCACCCTCAGTTTATTTCTGCTTCCATGCTAGCCCTCAGAGAGAGAGAAAGAGGAGAAGGTGTTCTTACCTGAACCTTTGTCTCTGCACCGCCACCATGTTCCTTTTCAGGTCCAAAAGTCCACATCACCGGTGTACTCTCTATGAGAAGGACGGCAGGATCCTTCACAAAAGATATTGTGCATTTTCAATGTGATGCTATAGGCATTTATTGCACAGGAAGATACTTGTGCCTAGTAAATGTGGATGTGGTGGAGCTCCTGTACTCCGACCGAGTACCTCTGCCCAGTATGCTTCCTACACGCTTGCGACCCTAGAACGCTTCATCCCCAGTCACTGAAGCTTGACTCGGGTCTCTCTGGAGATCTTTCTTTCCAGGCAGGTGTCGTCCCCTCTGGCTATTCCTCTGCAGCTTTCCTTCCAGGCAGGTATTGTTCCCTCTGCCATTTTCCTCTGCAGCTCTGCTTATAGTGATTGCTCCTGTCTTTACAAAGAATCTTACTCTTGATTTGCCCCTGGATTAGGGTGATTGTGCAGCCAGCCAACAGGTCTGAAGTCGCTGTCACTGGGATCCCTAAAAATACACACAGACACTGTTCCAAAAGGAACTAACATGCAAAGCTTTATTTTTACTTGTGACTAGACCATATGATCATTACATAAATCTTACTGTGACACACTCAAATAAATACATAAAACCAAATTATTTGGAAAAATATACAGGAACACATAAACATTAATAAAGTGGCAGGGAAGACAATAATTAAAGGGACACTATAGTCACCCAGACCACTTCAGCTCAATGAAGTGGTCTGGGTTCCAGGTCCCTTAGGTTTTTACCCTTCAGATGTAAACATAGGTTCAGAGAAACTGCTATGTTTACATAGCAGGGTTAATCCAACCTCTAGTGGCTATTTTCCTGACACCCGCTAGAGGCGCTTCTGCGACGCTGGATGCGAAATTGAGAAATGCTTTCACACAAACTCAAGTGAACAAGCTAATAACAAAATATGGGTGAGAGCACACGTAAAATGGTATTATCTCTGCCTCCAACCTTGTGTTGTGTACAAAGTTCCCTTTAAAAAGGGAAAGACTTAAACACTTTTTATTTTCTCAAGAAGTAAATAAAATTCAGTAGGTAAAAAGTAATAAAAATAATACATTAAACACTAACACATTTCAACACAAGTGTCTTTATCAAAGTACATAGCTTACCTCTATAAATTGTCCCTTTATTTTTTTTGCAAAGTCCAGCATTCAAAATGCTAATATTTGTGCGTTTTTTTTTATTTTTGGGGTGCCTTTTTGTTGAGGTATAGGACTATTTATTTCTTGGTACTGTTTTTCACATAGCAGATTCAACCGCAAGAGTTCTTAAGTCCACATTTAAAATTGTAATTCTTGATTAAAAAATCCAAACTTGAACTGTAGAAGATATGGGTTTGAAATATGACTTCCTGTCAGCGATTTTGGGGCAACTTTGTTTTCCTTAAGCTATAGAATCCCTTAATTTAAATAATTAAATACTGGATCTTTTCAAATTACCTGAAAAATAAACAATAATGTTTACCTTTAAAGGTCTTCAAGTCTGCAGGCTTTTCTACAGTTTTCCAGTGAAATATTCATCTCATGTAGTTTTTACTGGACCAGTTATTGCATCCAATCTTAAGCTTCAAAACTCAATCTTCCATTCCCCCAATTAACTTTGCAGCTAGTCATGGCACTTCTAGTTCCATAGCATCTTTGGTTTAAACAGGCATCCAAAATTGCACTGCATATTCCTAGAGTTGTATTCCCATTAATATATTGTCACGTATTCATCCGCTTATAGAAATGTGGTTAATGACATTTACTGTCCACACAGGAACAGTTGTGCCGAGCAGCAACCTAATCCACAGAAGGTTTAATGCTGAGCAGTAATTGTGCAAATGAAACCTGGTCTCATGTATTCATCCGCTTATAGAAAAGTGGTTAATGACATTTACTGCCCACACAGGAAAAGTTGTGCCGAGCAGCAACCTAATCCACAGAAGGGGTTAATGCTGAGCAGCAATTATGCAAATGAAACCTGGTAACTGACTTTGGGGTCAAAGGCCGGTTACAGCCTATCAGAAAGAAAGGAGGGGTATTTAGGCCCAGTTCTCAGCCTGCTCAGTGCCCTGTCGTGGTTTCCCTTGTGGTTGTCTGAGAGCGCGTTCCTGTTTATAGTTTTCTACCTGGTTTTTGACTTTGGCTTTGTTTATTGACTTCTCTATATTCTGGTATCCTGACTCCTGGCCTTCCTCATTGCTGTGTCCCTTTCTGTGTTCCCTGACCTCGGCTAGTATTTTTGACTATTCTTTGTACGTTAAATCCGGCCATTCTAAGGACCGGTAATACGTTACTTATTTGTCATCCGTGCTGTACAGTTCTACGTGCTGGATCAAACAGTAATCCTGACATTACGACATGGCCATAGATCCTATAGAACTGTGTCAGCACATAGCTGCTTGCGAGAGGAAATTAGAGGAGAATGATCACCGCATGGATCAATTCACTCAGGCTTTAAGTACGCTTCTCGCTAGAACGGAGCATCTGCAGCCTGCAGCGTCTCCTCCTATAGCACCTCTACCCTGTGTACCTCCACCCACTGTTAATATGACTCCTAGCATCTCCTTATCACCATCCCTACAGTTTGATGGCAATATCCAGGAATGCAGGGGTTTTCTTAATCAGGTGGAGTACCATTTTGAGGCCTCACCAGGGTCATTCCCCACGGACAGAGCAAGAATTGGTTATCTAATGAATCAATTAAAGGGCAAGGCCCTTGCCTGGGCTAATCCGTTGTGGGAGAGTAATCGGAGCATAGCTCATAATTACCAGGAATTCCTTGCCGAATTCAAGCTCACGTTTGAGCCATTGGGTAGAGAGGATGACGCTTCCACTGCCCTAATGCACATCAGACAAGGTAACCGGTCTATCTCGGATTATGCTATTGAATTCCGTACCTTAGCTTCCGAGGTAGACTGGACTAACAATGGGTTAATCTCAGCATTCAAAAAGGGTCTCTCAGAGACTATACTAGATGAGATAGCCGCTAAAGAATTACCTAAGAGTCTTAACGAATTTATTACGTTTGTCATGCATATTGATAATAGGTTAAGACTCAGAGAAGTCACCAGAAGCAAGACCAGATGTACGGCTATGTCCCTAGCACCTCAATTCTCTAAACCTGTTTTGTCTAACCTCCCTGTACAGTCCGAACCCGAACCTATGCAGTTGGGGGTCACTAGACTGTCAGAGGCCGAAAAACAGTATAGGAGAAGGGAGGGGTTATGCCTATATTGCGGTAGAAAGGGACATATGATAACTAATTGTCCAGTGCGTCCGGAAAACTTCCGCACCTAAGAACCTTAAGGGGACAGATCTTAGGTGTGATGGAGTTGTCCTCTAACAAAAACAAAAGTAGATTCCTCCTTGAGGTATCTATTTCCCTTGATAACAAGAAGTTTTCTTGCAGTGCCCTAATGGACTCAGGTGCTGCTGGAAATTTTATTGATGTCCAGTTTATTAGGGTAATGAGATACCGGTCAGGGAGAGACCTACGCCGCTAGCTGTAGAGGCTATTGATGGTAGACCACTCACACAACCGCTTATAACCCACGAAACTGTCCCTATTACGATCTCCATTGGGGCCTCCCATAGGGAGGAGATGACGTTTCAGGTTATTACTTCTCCATCATGTCCTATCATATTAGGGTTTCCGTGGCTGAGTAAGCACAATCCCTATATTGACTGGGCTAATGGGGAGATATTAGAATGGGGTAAAGAGTGTATGGGGAGATGTATAAAACCAGTACTAAAGAGACTGGATACTATTGACCTTCCCAATACCACTCCCCAAACTCCTGGAGTTCCCATACAATACTGAGAACTTCAGGAGGTGTTTAACAAGGCTCAATCCGATGTATTGCCTCCCCACAGAGCATATGACTGTGCCATTAACCTGTTTCCAGGCGCTATGCCACCTAAGGGGGCAGTTTATGCCTTATCTCCCCAGGAGAGTAAAATAATGGAGGAATACATCAAAGAATCCTTGAGCAAAGGGCACATAAGAAAGTCGTCCTCACCAGCTGGTGCAGGATTCTTTTTTGTTGAGAAAAAGGGTGGTGAGTTACACCCTTGCATAGACTACAGGGCACTTAATAAAATCACTGTAAAAAATGCATACCCTATCCCACTCATTTGCGAATTGTTCGATAGACTTCAGGGAGCTAAAGTATTTACTAAGCTTGACCTTAGGAGCGCTTACAATTTGGTTAGAATTAAAGAGAATTATGAGTGGAAGACGGCATTTAATACCCGTAGTGGACACTATGAATATCTGGTAATGCCATTTGGGTTATGCAACGCCCCGGCCGTATTCCAAGACTTTATAAATGATGTACTCAGGGAATTCATTTACTTATTTGTCTTGGTTTATTTGGACGATATTTTGGTGTATTCCCCTGATCTTCAGACTCACCACTCCCATGTGAAACAGGTTCTGCAGACGTTGTTGAAAAATAAACTTTATTGCAAATTAGAAAAGTGCATATTTGACCAGCCTGAAGTCCACTTTTTGGGTTACAACATCTCTGCATTGGGATTTCAAATGGATCCTAAAAAACTAGAGGTTGTACTACACTGGCCATTACCCTCTGGTTTAAAAGCCATTCAAAGGTTTATTGG